CTCAAACGTCGATCCCTCTCAAACGTTGAGTAATTATGTAAAAGAAATAAAGAATGGCATAAACTATCAAATAAAGAATGACTCATGATCCCATGAGTTTTACGTATTCAAGAACAAAATCATCTTGAAACAGCTTTACGTATTCATAAATTTGAAAACAAACTCTTAACTTTTTGATAAGTGATGTTGAGAATAATGACATAAATGGTTTTTCAATTTATATCATAACTTTTTTAACAAACTTATGGTTTTCAAATTTATGAATACATATAGATCATAAGAGTAAAAATTTAATAAATATAATGTAATGCCATTTATCTAAATACTTAAATTTATAATTACACTTTAACTGACCATAATAATAGATATAAATTTTCTCAATGTATGTATATAAATCTTATTGGTGAGTTGAAAAATAGAGAAACAATTAAAAATAGAACTTTAAAAAAATAGAACACTTTTATGTAGAACTAATGGTGTTGGTGAACCTAACTTGAACACCATATGAAATCATAAACCTAACTTGAACACCAATTGAGAAAACTTTTGTAGATATTTTTACTATGTTGACGATAGCCTGAAATAAAGAGAAAGCAACTAAAAGTCAATAAAAAAATAAAAGAATGGACTGGAAAAAACAAAAACTCTACAATAGTTTTTTTAGCTTCACATGTGGGTAATATATAGAAGTAGATTAATTGGAGTCAATATTTAGAGTATTAATTTACACTCTAAAATTAATTAGATTTAATGTTTTGAATTAATTGGAGTTATTGTGGTTATCTGTTAGCCTAATGCATCAATTTAGAGTTATTTGACGTTACATATGTTTTAATAAGTTCATTTCTGGGTTTTACTTTGGGTAACTAATTCCAGAACAAAAAAAAAACACTAATATATTTCGGTATTAGAAGCCACATGAAAAGCGTTACTGGAGAAGAAAACTCGTCGCAAACATTTATTTTGAGAGAAGCGTAACACATGGAACAATGCATTAATATAATTAATGCATGTTACTATATTTCTTTATTAAACTTACATTGACTGTTACATAAGTTAGAATTTCATTCACTGAGACATTTATAAAACAATATACAGTAAAACCTCTATAAATTAATAATGTTGGGACCAACTTGGAAAATTTTTATTATCTTATTAATTTATCGATTTATGTCATATTTCACATTGGTCCTAACTTGGAACCGAAAGAATTTATTAATTTAGAGAAGTTTTTAATTTATAGAGTATTAATTTATAGAGGTTTTACTGTATGGGATGACATATTAAATTTAATAATTCCTGTAAATTATATTATACTATATAAATACATTAAATGTATTGTGTAATAAAAATTGTAAATAAATACTCCAACTTGGAGTTGTAAAATGTGAGAATAAAGTGGTGTTATAAAATTTTTTTAAAAAAAAGTTAGATTGGAAAGAAGAAACAAAAAGAGAAAAATTAGAAAAGATTAGAAATGTATATTATGGAGATATGAAAATATTATGTAAGATAGAAAAATGAGGAAAACAATTAAATTTAAAAATAGATGCCAAATGTACTAATATTATGAGAAGTTTTTAAAATGTACTAATATTTTGTGTAAATGTATTGTGTAATAAAAATAAATACTACAACTTGGAGTTGTAAAATGTGAGAATAAAGTGGTGTTATAATTTTTTTTTTTTTTAAGTTAGATTGGAAAGAAGAAAAAAAAGAGACAAATTAGAAAAGATTAGAAATGTATATTATGGAGATATGAAAATATTATGTAAGATAGAAAAATGAGGAAAACAATTTAATTTTAAAAATAGATGCCAAATGTACTAATATTATGAGAAGTTTTAAAAATGTACTAATATTTTGTGAAGTTAAAATTTAACTGATCCATAATTTTGAATCAGATGAATAAGTGGTGATTAAGTAGATAATAATTTTGGCTAAACAAATTAGACACAAATTTCAATTTAAATACATGTCAAATGTATCAATAGGATAAGAGAAATATCTTTTTGGAATTAAATTGTAGGTACAAACTTTCAAAACTAAGGATTTTAAATAAATTAAAACAAACATTAATAAAATGAAAGAGGACACATGTCACCAAAAGAGAGTGCCAAATGTCGCAATGGTAGGAAAAGTTAGAAGAAAACCTTCTCATATTATATAAGATATATATATATATATATATATATATATATATATATATATATATATTATATAATTTTGCTGCATCAAAAATTTTCAACACAAGATCATATTATATAAAGCAAGCTATCTAATATTATAACATAATGCAAGTATTTAATTAAGTCCATATATGATACAAAAGATAGTTCATTTGGCTAAAATGTCTTCGAGGTTCATACAAAACCCACTGAGATATATATAGGTTTTAAATATATGCAAATTTCACTTTCGTAATCATGAATCGATTCAGATATTCGTTTGCGGTGATCAGAGCCGTAGCAACGATTTTGAGGGCCACATGCGAGGAAAAAAAAAGGGCCGCTCTAAAAAAAATGCATAATTGTAAAGAAACTTAAGCAAAAAATGTCTTTAACAATGTCTTACAAAATATTGTTTTAAAACAACAAAAGATCAACAAACTACTCTTTAAAGATTATTCTGCTCGCGTTTCTAGCTGCAAACTCATTCATCAATTCTGTAAAGTCAAGTTTTTCAGTCATACCTCTTTCAATCGACAACATTGACAATCCATTCAATCTGTCTTGGGACATAGTTGACCGTAGATAAGACTTTATAAGCTTTAACTTCGAGAAGCTTCTTTCTGCAGACGCAACTGAAACTGGAATCGTCATCATTATACGATATGCAGTCCATGTATTTGGATAACAACTTTCCATCTTTTTCAGAAAATCCAATATCTCGACAACCCTGTTGATATCTGTTGGTAACACTCCTTTTAAAAGTTTTAGCTCCAAAAACAGATCATTACCATCAAGATCAGAATGGTTACCATGCTTGAGAAAAACTTCAAGGTTCGCACAAGAAGCCATCAACTTTTCATCATTTGCTAACTTCAGCTTCTTCAAGTCAAACAAGAATCCAAAAGTCTTTTCATAGTCCTGAAGTTGATCAAACCTTGTCTCAAGAGATACCGCCGGTGATACTTGTTTAATGTTAGAAAAACGGTTCTATATGAGTGAATATGCTTTGACCAAATTATTAAGTCTGTATAGTTTAAGAACAATTCTCAAATATTCAAATCTGATTTTGCATTTTCTGATCGATATCATGGAACGTGGAAACCCTAAAAGAGTGATCTTATTAGTGAAGATTCGTCTATGCACCCTCCTTGACCAATATAATAAATAAACCTTGAGATCTACAACAATTTAATGATCTTCATGATTCCACTTTACTTTGAGGCCAAACTAAAAGTAATCGAGTTTTGACTTTTGAGAAAGATTTTATGAATTAGTAATCAATTACAACAAGCATGAAGCATGCATATATTGAATCTACTATGAAGTTTTGAAAGTTAACTATACCAATGTGTGAAATGTCGTAAAAAGAATCATCAAAAAAATTGTTATCAACCCTTATAACATGCATGCATATATGAGTCTACTATGAACTATGACATTTTGGAATGAACACTACAAATAATTTAACAATGTTGGATTTAATTTTTGGGAAAAGCTATGTCGGATTCTCCAAAATCGATATACCACTAATTAACTACAATGATATCCTTTCACTTATCTTAGGTTCCACTTTCAACTCATCCACTCGATTCATTATAAGGTATGTCTTTCAAGCCTTTTGCTCATACCATATGGCGCAAACGTAATAAAAGACGGCACAGTCAACTTCCTTGATCGCTTTGTCGGCAACTGACTTAATTAGTTCACTCAAGCAACCATGTCACTCCACGTTCGAAGATGGGCTGCGCATATGACTCGACTCAAGAAGCTAGAGAGGACTTCTATCTCCCACATTCAAACTCGGTTTTGGTTTTCGTTCGATTAGGTTTTCTAAAAAAGGTTGCATATAATGTAAACAAAGTTTTTTTGGTTGAATAAATGTAAAATTTATTGCAAAAAAAAAAACAAAATCATCACTTCTTCCACGTCAATTAGCAGAGACGATCTATGCTCGAAACAATTAGTATCTTCTATTTATTAAAATATTAATCAAAAATCAATTAGAAAATATTTGTATTTGTTAAATATAATCTCAATCAGGCTTGGAATGGGGACTAGGGGAACAAGCTACCCTTTGTTCTCTTATCCTTATGCATACCGATCTGGTCAAAGTTACTTGGCAGTCTCTTGGGTTCTCGTATTACTCTAGATTGTTTGGATACAGTAAGGCACATATGTTCTATTTCTTTCCCTACTCTTGAGTCTTGACTACGTACATCTTGATGAGATCGGTGTTCCACACTACGATTATACCATGTGTATAGACTAGAGAAACATAATGGTCCCAAAACACTAGAGATATTGCCATCCTCCCTCCCTGCAGCTCAACTGCAAAATTGACAAAATTTACATGGGGATAAGCTAAAGCTTTATCTCTTTGATTTATCGCTTTCTTTCTTTTTTTCAATCACTCGATGATCTATTTTATTTCATTAGTTTGTAAAATAAACCTTTTTGGTGAGCTATAAATTTACATTTAGAAATAAACATTTTCATTTTGTTAAGATTTATTAAAAAAATAAAAAAAAACCATCTTGTTTCATATAAAAACATGTTGTGGTTGCATGTACGCCTTTCAAACTTACTTTGATACCCAATCATTATAATCCATGTTCTTTAAGATTAATTTTAGGAGTCTACTGGTGTAGTTAACTTTCTTTAAAAATATATATATATTTTACAAAATACTAAAAATGGTGAAAACTTGAGAACTCAGAAACATTAATATTAATGTATATTTCTTTATAGGCCACTAGTCAAATATACTATGCATTTGTGAAAGAGCCAAAACGTGGTGTATAAATAAGCATTTCGATCCTCAGCTTCTTCATCAATCACCAGAGCACATCGATCATGTTTATCATCTATATATTTCTCTTTCTCTCCTCAGCCATTATAGGTAATTAAGCTTCCTTATGCACAGTTTTTATTCACACCATTCATGTTTCAGATATTAAAGAGAACATAGAGTGTATAACACACGACACTGCTTTTTGCCTATATTCTTATCTAAATTATGTACATAAATTGTATATATAGCTCCAAACGGTAGTTGGATATTATAGCTACAACTTTCTTTCTTCCACATTCTTTTAACACATTTGATGCTTGGCTAGAAAAGTAAAGTTCTCAATAAAATTAATAAAGATATGAAGATTATATAATACAATTCAATTTTATGTATAAAGATTCAAATGGGTTTGCAATTGCCCAAAAGCTGGAGGCTAAGGGTGGGAAAGGGGGCAAGGAATGGGATGATGGAGCCGACCATGAAAATGTAGCAAAAGTTTTTATCCGAGGTGGTCTTGAAGGCATACAATACATCAAATTTGATTATGTCAAAGATGGACAATCTATAGAGGGACTAATCCATGGTGTCTTGGGTAGTGGTTTCACACATATGGTATGTTTTAAAATAAATATTATATATATATATATATATATATATATATATATATATTATCTTTAATCTCCCAAAAAAGTTTCAATGCATCGTTTTAATTGCAGTGGCCAGTGAAATTCAAAGGTGAATCTTATTGATGTTTTCGATCCCCATGTCACATATTTAGCTTGTTGTCTACAATATGCTTTTTTAATGTATCAACCATTTTTGTTGGCAGTTCGAGATTGATTATCTAAACAGTGAACATATTGTATCTGTTGATGGTTACTACGACAAATCTGGTGTGATGCAAGCACTTGAATTCAAAACCAACCGGAAGACCTCTGAAGTGATTGGATATCCAAAGGGTAATACAAAGTTTTCACTTGGTGGGGTCAACGGGAAGATGATCGCCGGCTTCCATGGATCCGCAGGGAAAGCTCTAAATTCCATTGGAGCATATTTAACAAAAGTTCCTCCTACTAAGTCAGAACTCGTAGGTGGTTGGGGCGGCGAATACTGGGATGATGGTCCTAATTATGACGGCGTAAGAAAGGTGTATATTACTTACATTAGCACTTGTATAAGGAGTATCAACATCGACTACGAAAAAGACGGACAAGTTGTGACAAGTTCCCACGGGAACAAGGAGGGAGAGACAGAGGAGGTCCTAAATTCTTATCTCTTAAATCAACATTCTTAGTCGTCCGTACACATATTTGAATTGCTTACTATAATAAGCCAAAATTTATTTTATATATCAAAATCATTTAGATTTATTAGGCTCTAATTTTACGTGAAATTTCATTTTTAATATTTAAAAAAAATTTCAATGTAGATTTACTAACATTATTTTTCTTCAATGCAGTTTGCGATAGACTATCCAAATGAATCTTTGATATCAGTGGAGGGTACGTACGACTCAATCCTATTCCCCGATCATTACGTTTTGGTCATTACGTCATTGAGTTTCAAAACATCAAAAGGGAGAATATCACCCACATATGGGGTTGTGTCGGGTACCAAATTTGTGCTGGAGAGCCAAGGTAATGCGATTGTCGGATTCCATGGGAGAAATGGTGGTGCTCTCGACGCTCTTGGGGTTTATTTCTCTCCGATGTGAATCCTTCGTAATTTGAAACTATAAAGGCTACAAAAACGTATATGGTTCCACGGAAAATCTAATTGTCCCGACATTCAACAAATTTCATCATGTTGTTTTATAATAATGCTCTCATCTTTTATGCTCTGCTATACATGCATGTTGTTTCCGATCTTCTTTAATTTCACATTGTCTTTTGAGTTTGCAAATCTATGTAATAATACAAGGGTTAATTATATAAACCTATATTTTAGTATTTCATACAGTATTTGATAACATTGAATTGAGTGTAAGAAAATTTCATCAAAAATAAAGTTTGTTGTCTTTTTTGTGTGCATATGTTTGTTTATCAAGCTCAAACTCAATGAGTCAAAAATTATTCTTCAAATACGAAAATCAATAGATGTAAAATATATATTTCTGATATCAAAGTATTTCACATTTGATGTAAAATTATTGATTTTGAGTTGAAATTTCTATTAACTTTAACATTTTATCATTGCTTCATTTAATTGAAATTAATAAAGTAACGAATATTTTGCGGTCCTAGTACTGGAACAACTTAGCCTTGGTTCCACGTTATCCTGGGCACAACTAAAAAAAACATATACTCAAATACTAGTGATTCTAAACGCAAATATACATTAACCAATTTGTTTTGTGCCAAATCCGATGAGCTTACAATATATATATACTCTAAAGTGAGGTAAAATTAAAGTGTGGAAGTATCATCTCTAACTAAAATAAAAATTTGTTTCTAACTCTGATCGCGCGTATTAAAAATAACCCTATATTTAAAATTGCGAGAAATAAAAGAAAACTAGAAAGAACGAAACATTTTAAAAATAATATACCTGTATCAATTGTTTATGGTTTTTGACTTACCAAAAAAAAAATTGTTTATGGATTTTGTGCAAAATAACCCTCCAACTCGCCTGTTTTTGTAATTTTACCATCCACGTCAAAAAAATACAAATTAATCATACAAAAATAAAATAATACGCAATATAACTTTTTTTCGTTACCGTCAAGTTTGTAAAATTTGGATAAATAATATATCAAATCGAAGCCCTCGTGACGAGGAGTTTAACTCTACCTTTAGAATTTTAAAATTTCAATACGTTTACAATAAACGTACAAGTGTTATATTACGTATTGTTTTGGACTTTGTATGATTAATCTATATTTTTCGAGATAAAGGGTAAAGCTGCAAAAATTGGCGAGTTGGAGGATTTTTTTGCATAAAACTCATTGTTTATCTAACATAATTGTATTGTAAACTTCAAATCCAAACAAAATATTCGTTTACTAAACAAGAAGTTAATATCAATCTTTGGGCTAAAAAACTTCAATCTTATAATTAAAAATGAACACATGAAGAATGCGGGAAAAGTAAGTAACTAATTATCTAATACTCCAAAGTCAAAATTCATGGTATTTCGTATTCATACCAGATCTGAGATTGGATTAAATAAATACAAGTAGGTTTTCAGTATATCTTTCGTAATCAGGAATCGATTCGGATATACGTTTTGCGGTTTTGGGGTGAGACTTGGTTGTTAAAATATGATGTGTATCTGATGAACTGATTTGGGAATACTCCATGCTCCAAGCATTTAGGCTTAAGACATCAACACTTTGAGATTTATAATTAAAGCAAAGAGATGTGAACTCTTTTCTATTGACCAGAGATTACATGGTCCTTCTTATTTATTTACCAAATCGATCTGAGATTGAATTATTTAAATACAAGTAGGTTTCCATTATATCTTTCGTAATTAGGCATTGATTAAGATATACGTTTTGGGGATGACAGAAGAGGCATTGACGAAAATTGTGTGGCTTAAGAAAATTTCTTAAATAGTCCATCTGATATTTTAGTAATATTAATTTTTATTCGGGGAAACTGATCTTATTTTTTTAAGATATATCGCTTAGCAAAATCTTAATAAAATAAAAGAACAACGAAATGTTTTTTAATAAAATAAAAGAACAACGAGTGTATTGGATTCTGACGTGTGGTATACCGGAACAATGCCAAAAAAAATTGGTTATGGTATTGCACACATGACACATATTAGTTAGTGCAATGCAGAAACTAATGTAATTGTCGATACATAAAAATGGTCTGGATCACTGCATGTGTTACTATATTGGTGTATATAATTGGTGTAGGTAGTTATCATTTTTCATTTTAAAATTAAATATTTGGATATGTATCCAGAAATTTCAGATATTCAACTTTTCGAATTGGAATGGATCGGATTTTGGATCAAATCTTTTTCAGATTGGTAACTCAACTCTATTAAAATCGCTATAATTTTTTTTCCAACTGCAAGTATATACAAGATATTGAATAAAAACTATCATGAACACCGAAAAGTCCAGTTATACGTTTTTAGCTAATTATAACAAAAAAAAAAACATAATGAAAGGAAAGGGAATCTTCTGACTAGTAAAGTGAATGAATCATACAATATTGTTTCTATTTACGTCGACTATAACTAGTAAGGTAGTTAAATAACAAATCTCCAACATGCAAACTCATCTAACTAATCCAGGTCAGCATAACAAACTAACGTAAAATACAATCAAACTTCATGTGACAAAAAAATGATGATCTGAGTTTTTTCATCTCGAAATCCTAAATAACGATAAAATATATAGTCAACTGGAATATAAAAACAGTACATTTCACTCTTTCGACATTTAAATTAATTAAATAACTAGACTTAAGTAGGTATTATATTAAATTAAAAAGAAGTACAATCTGATATTTTATAGTTAACTTGTCAATTATAAAGTTCAAAAGAAATTTTGCCCAAAAAAATAAAAAGAAAAAAGTTCAAAAGAAATCAAAGTATACTTCAAAGTCACATAACGTTTTTAGTGGTAATGGTTTTAGGTTATTAATTAGTTCACATTGTTCAAAAACCTAAAGTTCTTAATTCAATTGATTAAATGATTTTTAATAAAAGAATATTTTTGAAGGTTTTGTTAAATACTATTATAGATACCTTCAAGAAGATAAAAACTTGATAATTGAGGAACATCATTTTATAATGCCTCATATGGGCCACTAGTCAGATTTTTTTTTTTTTTTTTTTTTTTTTTACTAGTCAGATTTTATATATACACTAACATGCAAATGTGAAAGAGCTAGCCAAAACTGTATCTATAAATAAGCATCTTCATCCCCAACTTATGGATTCATCAATCACTAACGTCATACTTATCTTTGACAAAAAAAAAACACATGTACTTATCGATCATGTTCATCATCTATATTTTTCTCTTTCTCTCATCTGCCATTATAGGTAATTGATCGGCTAGATATATATGTCTCTTAGACCATTAATATTTTTAGATGAAAAAGAACAGATAAAATTCCCTATAAAGATCCAAATTAATAATTTTCTATGAATTGAAATTTTTTCTTTTTTCACAACCTCAAATTTGCATTTGATATAAATTTTTTCTTTTAAAACGAGCCTGCAGCAAGATCTTCCTTCCGTTTTGAAATTTTTTTATGATTGGATTAAAAACAATTGTTTTCTTTTAATATTCGTAGTCCCAACATAAAGTAATACTAATGACTATGAGATAATAACACACAATATAACCTAAAAACTTTATATGTTTAAAGATTCAAATGGATTCGCAATGGCCCAAAAGATAGAAGCAATTGGTGGTAAGGGAGGGAAACTGTGGGATGATGGTGCCAACCATGATAATGTAGCAAAGGTTTATATACGAGGTGATCATGAAGGCATTCAGTACATCAAATTTGACTATGTCACGGATGGACAATCGATTAATGGATCAGTCCATGGTGGTTCAACCGACGGTTTCACACAAACGGTATGTTTCAATTCATATTTTCATGTGGGTATATATATAATGCTAATTAAGGGGGTGAAAATTAATATATATTTTTTGTAAAATATTATACACTTTTTTAAAAAAAACTGTAAAATCTAGCTAAAAGAAGATTTTATTTTACGACCAAAACTTCATAATTATTATGATTATTTATGAAACCCTAATAAATCACGTACTTACATCTTTGTCATACTTCGCTACTTTTGGTTTGCAGTTGGAGATTGACCATCTCCAGTATGAACAAATTGTATCTGTTGAAGGTTACTATGACTTGAAGACCGGTGTGATGCAAGCACTCCAATTCAAAACCAACCTCAAAACTTCAGAACTTATTGGATATCAAAAGGGTACTAAGTTTTCACTTGGAGTCGATGGAAAAATCATTGTTGGCTTCCATGGATCTGCTCTGCATAACCTCCGCTCTCTTGGAGCATATTTAAAGACTCCTCCTACCAAATCAGAACTCCAAGGTGGCATAACCGGAGGCGAATATTGGGATGATGGTCCTAATTTCGATGGTGTAAGAAAGGTGTATGTTACTTTTACGGAAACTCATATAAGGAGTATGAACATTGACTATGACCAAGATGGCCAAGTGGTAACACGTTATCACGGGATGAAGAATGGAGAAACACAGGAGGTAAATATCTCTATAACCCCCATATATACAATAAACTATACGAAGTATATGAAATAATATACTAAGTTTTTTACTTTTTTCTTTTTTCTTTTTTTTTGGTATGAAATATACTAGGTCTATCTTTTTTTTTGGGTAACGAAACAATTGTGTATTTATTGCAGTTTGCTGTGGACTTTCCGAATGAATATATGACATCTGTGGAGGGTACATACGACCATATCAGTGAGGGTAACTATTTGGTTCTTACGTCATTGACTTTCAAAACATCAAAAGGAAGAATCTCTCAGACATTTGGATTGGTCATTGGAACCAAGTTTGTGTTGGAGAGTAAAGGTAATGTGATTGCCGGGTTCCATGGAAGGGATGGTGGTTCTTTTGATGCTATCGGAGTTTATTTCTCTCCAATGATATCTTCATAGAGCTTCACTATTTAATTTTAGGCCAATCGTCGTGGGGTAACATACTTCAAAGATCAAGTTTGTTCATGATCTCTCGTATCTTTTACTACTTTAGAATACTTATTGACAATGTCAACTATGCAAATCTTATGTAATGAAATAAAGGTTTATCCAAAACTATTTTCAATATTTCATTTAAAATATCATCTAAAGGAATTTTTCTATATTTTATATAATAAAAACAGCATTTTAAATTTTTTACGATAAAGAGTAGAATAAAACATTATTAAAAACTCTTCACTAAACACATAAATATCCGACAAATTTTTCCTGACGACTTTCCGACGATATTTTTCATCAATAATTTGCAACGCTTTTTTGATGAATGTTAGTTTCCGACCAGTGAATTCCGATAGATTAGAATTTTGTCGGAATACGCCATTCCCCGAGAACAGTGATATGATCTTCAGAAATACATGTGTTTTGGCTAGCCCACCCCATTTAGACCCGCCCCATTTAAAACCCACCCCATTTAGACCCACCCCATTTAACTCCATTTAAGTTTACACCCCATTTATCCTCCCCATTTAAACCCATTTAAATTTTCTTTACCCATTTAAACCCATTTAGACCCATATAACATTGTTTTGTTCTAAACAATATAATATAATCAATAATTATTTTATTTGATTATTTAAAATTTACAAATTATTCATTAAATATAATTGATAAATAATGATATAACTGTTTTTATTATTTTGTTGAAGAATAATATAGTTTTAAAAAAATGAAATTTTGCGGTTTTGCCGGAAAATCAAGGATTTACGATTTTGGCGGGAAAACGCCATTTTATAGTATGATATTTTTGGTGATAAAACGCAATTTTACGATTATGGCGGGAAAATGCGGGTTTACGGTTTTGGCGGGAAAACGCCATTTTCCGCCAAAATCGCAAAATTGCGTTTTATCACCAAAAATTATTTTTCCATGAAATAGCGTTTTGCCGCCAAAACCGTAAATCCGCGTTTTCCCGCCAAAACCGTAAATCCGCGTTTTCCCGCCAAAACCGTAAATCCGCGTTTTCCCGCCAAAACCGTAAACCCGTATTTTCCCGCCAGAACCGTAAACTCGCATTTTCCCGCCAAAACCGTAAATCTACGTTTTCCCGCCAAAACCGTAAATCCGCGTTTTCCCGCCAAAATCGCATAACCATGTTATAGAAGACGTGGTTTTACATTTTGTTTTAAATATTTAAATCAAAACTGAATTTAAGTAGAATATTAGTTTTAAATATATTTAATATTTTGCTTTTTTATTTTAGTTATTAAGATATTAACATTTTAAATAAAAATAACCAATATAAAATGAAACATAAATGGGCTTAAATGGGTACCCATTTATTTGGATGAAACCCCATTTAATAAATAGGTTTAATTGGGGTAACCCATTTAACCCCATTTAACATTTTTTCCTAAATGGGTTTAAATGGGTTAATTTTTTTTGTACATACCCATTTAATAAATGGGGTTCCATGCCCAAGTTAACATCACTAAGAATAAAAGATTGAAAAATGCCCACAGACCAAACCCGAGCCAAAATTAGTTCTAGGGAGATAGCAGATTATGGCGCTGCATGTGATTTATGGTGTCTGCATTCGACGGATTCTGTCCAAGATCTACAAGTCCCTACTCGGAAAAAGACCTAGCGACCAAAGATCCAATGCCACGCTCTCCAAGAACTTTTCCCAATGAAGTAGTCAGCCTACTCACACCAGAGAATAAACACTAAGGAGAACACTCACCACACCACTAGAGCGGCTCCCCCGTAACCAAAGATGAAAGGATCTTGCCTCACCAAGTAGGAATATTCGACGGAACAATCTTCAGAGGAACCATGTTGCCGTCGTCAAAGAAACTTTTTTTTTTTTTTTTTTTTGAATGAATGTTAAATTTATTCAACCAAAAAAGTCCTTTGTACAATGAATGCAACCTTAAATCGAATGTTGTTTTGAAAGAATTCTAAGTATAAAACTAAGAACACTAGGTCCTAGATTCAAACCATAAGCGGAGTCCATCTTCGAGTTTGCGAGGATCCAAGAGGCGGATTGAAGAGATTCTGTTGCGAATTATGCGATCAATAAACTTGATTATTTGGTCTGCAGCAATTGGTGATTCTCCATGTCTACGTTTGTTTCTTTCCAACCAAAGTGTATGAACAGTTGCTTGGAAAAGAATGCGTATAATGAAGCCAAGGGTACCTTTGATCGATGAATCAGATAGGAGAGATATGATCCCGAAGAAACTGTTGGTGTATCTTCTTTGAAGAAGTCGACTTGCCAGCCCCTCCCAGATCCGTGAAGAGAAAGCACATGAAAAGAAAATGTGCTCCCGTGTCTCCATCGGTGCTTGACAAAAAACACATGATGGGTTCACTCCCATATTCCAAGAGACCATACACTCACCAGTGGACAGTCTTCAAAAAAACTTCATCGCCTCAGGGGAGGAGATCATCCAAGGGAGGACTGTAGTGAATTCAGCCATTTTGACGAACAAAAAAAAAAACATTAATCACTTATTAAATAAGTACTTTAATTAGTATTTTTGAAATCATAAATTAAATTACACCACACTTTCATACGAAAATTGAAATTAAAAATCGAATAATTCCTTTTTTATTTTTATTTTGAATCAATTTAAATACTCAATCCAATAAACCACTTCGATCGCATGAACAACGTATTCTACATGCAAAATAGACTTCTTGGATCAATTCCAGTGGACCTATAATCTACTCATGCAATAAAGCGACAGCTCATTTCGCATTTTACTTTTCTCAGTACTTTCAAAAGCATCACAAATAATTATAAAAATAATAATACTTTATGTCCTATTTTATAAGCTCTTTTAGGAATTTTTCATTTTATAATTATATTTAATGCATTAAAATTTATTTAAATAGAATACATAATTTTTCTTATTAATCGAAAATTTTATGCTCTTTCTTTTTTTGTTTAAGGGTTTGACTATTTATGATCTTTATTAATATGATTTTAAAAATTTTCTCTGTGCGAAAGGAAAAAAATAACATTTTAGATTTATGTATCGATCTTAAGTATATTTTAAGAAAATCATATGACCTAAAACAAGCTTCAATTAATGATAACGAAGAAGAAGAAATTTAAAAAGCAAATCCATAATGTCACGATAAGAAAGTAAAAACATAGAATGAATGGTCGATGGCGTGTGAACGTGTAAAGATGAATGATTAAAATGGTGAAGATTGTCAATAAATAGAATGATCCAATATCATTCTCACTCACAGCTCTTCTCAAACATAAGGTCTCTCTCTCTTGTCTCTTCTCAGGCACAATCAGCCCTTTTTTCCTCCATTCTATATTCACATTCTTTTGTCGACATTCTCTATTCACATAATACTAATTTTATGTGGTTTTGCCCTTGTTTGGTTATGATGCATCAACTATTTTATTTTTCTTAATGGTTTATTGCTTAAAAATTAGGTGCCTATTGATTTTTGTTATTTTTTGTTTGGTGTAACAAATTCATGGTTTATTGGCCTTTATATTTGTTAGTTGGACCATGTGGGAAGCATTTCTCTCACGTTTATAAGGAATGTAACCGTTTTCAAGAATTATAACTCCCATCATTGTCGCAAAGAATATAAAGACTGTATCTAGGTGAGGTTTTCAATTTCACATTATATAAGAAATTATTACTATACTCTATTGCTATCCACAATCTCACAAGTTACTCTCATTCCTCATCGTACTCTCTTTACTCAGGTTACAATTTCTCAGTTCTTTTTTTGGTTTTACTCTGTCTTTCCTCTCTAAGTAGTGACTACTGCTAGATTTCAAAGAACTTATATAAACAAATTATTATTTAAACTGGTTTTTCAATTTTGTATTCGTTTCTTAACAAATGCTTTAAGGTAGACTTTTTTCTTTTTCTAACGTCAAATTGATTAGTTTATTAGGAAATTGCCGAAGCAAAGAAATCATAGTGTAAGACATCATATATTGCTTTTGGAACATTGAAATGATATAGACTTCATTTTCCGATTTTCTTTTCTCTCTTATGGTTTGTTACTTGGGTTTCAAGTTTCGATTTGTTTAACTTTATTGACTAAAGAATATTATTATTAATTTTAAAATATGTCCTATAATTTTCATATTTTTAATGTCTCTATGTTATTGTACATGTTTCTCCTATATATACTTTTGTCAAAATCCAGATTTTTTTCTGATGATTTCCTCTCGTTAAGTATGTAAATATAATTATGTCAAAGACTCAAAAGGAGATCAATTGATATTGTCTTGAAAAAGTATTTCCATCTTTCAGGTTTTCTCTGAATTTAAAAGATAGAAACAATGTCGGAAAAGGTGGGAGCGATGGGTGGTAACAAGGGAGGAGCATTCGATGATGGTGTTTTTGATGGTGTGAAGAAAGTAATAGTTGGAAAAGACTTCAGCAAGGTAACTTATATCAAGATCGAATACGAAAAGGACGGAAAATTCGAAATTCGTGAACATGGGACGAATCGCGGGGAACTAAAAGAGGTAATGAAAAAACCATGACTTTGTTTTTATTCTCAAACCCGTAAAAGCTGGAGTAATAATTTGTTTGTTTTTGATGGAAAATGAAATCCAGTTTTCAGTGGATTATCCGAATGAATATATCACAGCCGTTGGTGGAAGCTATGGTACTGTTTTCGGTTATGAATCAGAATTGATCAAATCATTACTCTTCAAAACCTCTTATGGAAGAACCTCTCCGATACTTGGTCATACGACATTACTCGGGAATCCATCTGGGAAAGAATTCATGCTAGAGGGCAAAAATGGAGGAAAGCTTCTTGGTTTCCATGGACGTTCTGGTGAAGCTCTTGATGCTATTGGACCTCACTTCTTCGCTGTGAACTCTTCTCTTAAGCACTTTAAACCGCAAGGTGGGAATGGAGGGAGTGCTTGGGACGATGGTGCTTCTGATGGTGTTAGAAAAGTTCTTGTTGGACGAAATGGTAAGTTTGTGAGTTATGTCCGGTTTGAGTATGCGAAAGGCGAAAGAATGGTACCACATGCTCATGGGAAGAGACAAGAAGCTCCACAAGAGGTATCTTCATAGAAATCTTTGTGTAGTTTCTTGTTTACAAAGATATTCTTATTATCGTACTCTTTTGATCGGAGAAACTTTTAAATTTGGTTGCAGTTTGTGGTGGATTATCCTAATGAACATATTACATCGGTCGAGGGAACAATCGATGGTTACCTTTCGTCTCTGAAGTTTAAGACATCAAAAGGAAGAGTCTCCCCTGCTTTTGGGAATGTGGCTGGTAATAAATTTGTGTTCGAAGAAACAGGTTTTAAACTTGTTGGGTTTTGTGGTCGGTCTGGTGATGCTATTGATGCTCTTGGTGCACATTTTGCCCCTCTTCCCATTCCCGTTCCCGCTCCAGCTCCAGCTCCAGCTCCAGCTCCAGCTCCTGTTACTCCTTCTTTTAAACTTCCAGCACAAGGCGGAAACGGAGGAGTTTCTTGGGACGATGGTGTTCATGATAACGTGAGGAAGGTTTATGTAGGACAAGGCGATTCTGGTGTTGCCTTTGTCAAGTTTGAGTACAATAAAGGATCAGAGTTGCTTGGCGGAGATGGTCACGGAAAAATGTCATTGCTCGGAACAGAGGAGGTAATTGATTATAGAGGAGATAATTTTATGTAGGTTCATGCATTTTAGGATCATGTCAACAGACTCGACTCTTATAAGATCTAACTTATACATGACCAAAATTTTCAAATTTTTGGATAAGATCTAGAGTAATAGATACTACCAGTTTGGATTAGGATTATTAATTCTAACATATAATAGATACCGGTCGGATAATTATCTAAAGTAATGGAAGTATCCAAAATGCATGGGCCTAGTTTTATGGATTGCTTACGAATTGAGAGTGTTTTGTTCTGTTGTTTTGGCAGTTTGTAGTCCACCCAGATGATTACATCACATCTGTGAAAGTTTACTACGAGAAACTCTTTGGCTTGAAGGCAGAAATCATAACGGCTCTTATATTCAAGACATTCAAGGGAATAACCTCTCAGCCGTTTGGAATCACGTCAGGTGATTTCTTCTTGCTCGAAGGCGGAAAGATCACCGGTTTTCATGGGAGTTCGAGCGATGTTCTTCATTCTATTGGAGCTTACATGTCTCTTTCGTCTACTCCGATGTTGCGTGGAAAGTGGATCCAGGTACGTAGTAGGACTCAATATTCGGTTATATGGGTCTTAAAAAAAAAAAAATCTTCATTTTAATTTTGGTTTGCTTTGAAGAAAAAACATGATTTAGAAATAAAGGTAATAACTAATGTTATTTGGTATGCTTGTTGTACACTAAATTAGGTTATGGTTAGATTTTGCTACAAAACATTGGTACCGATCGAATTAAAGATAAATTTCAATTTGATTTTGGTTCCAAATTTTAGTTCGGGTCATATTTGTAGAACTAGTGCGTAAAAAGAGTTTTAGTCCTTGTGAAACATTGGTTAGTTGTCATTGTGCTACTGTAATTTATGTTATAAAACATGTGGTGATTATTATTGTTAGGTGGAGCAAAAATCAAATGGACCTGGACCAAGATGTTCTCATGCTATAGCCATGGTTGGAGAAAAAATGTATTCCTTTGGAGGAGAGCTAACGCCTAATTTCCACATTGATCAACATCTCTACGTCTTGGATTTCAAGACTCACACATGGTCACTTGCTCCTCCAAACGGTGATGTTCCGGACCTCCCTTGCTTAGGTGTTTGCATGGTAGCCATCGGCACTACACTCTACGTCTTTGGTGGCCGGGATGGCTACCGTAATTACAACGGTTTCTACTCTTACGACACGGTTAAAAATGAGTGGAAACTCATAACGCACGTCAATAAAGGACCTGCACCACGTAGCTTCCACGCGATGGCTGCTGATGAAGAAAATATTTATGTCTTTGGTGGAGTAAGTACTACGGTACGTCTCAATACATTGCATGCTTATAACATCGTTAGTGAAAAGTGGATTGAGCTTACCAATCCAGGAGAGTCTTGCAAAGCGAGAGGAGGACCAGGGCTCGCAGTTGTTCAAGGAAAGATTTGGGTTGTGTACGGATTTTCTGGGGACGAAATGGATGATGTTCATTGCTATGATCCGGTTGAAAGTAAGTGGACTAAAGTGGAAACAAGTGGTGAAAAGCCATGGAGGAGGAGCGTGTTTTCGATAGCGGTTGTTGGGAAACATATAATTATGTCTGGAGGTGAGATTGAGATGGACCCAAAGGCTCATTTGGGACCAGGGATATTGATCGGTGGAGCTTTCGTGTTGGACACGGAGAATTTGATGTGGGAGAAACTCGAGGAAGGTCATAGTCCGCGTGGATGGTGTGCATCCACAACTGCGTCCATAGATGGAAAGAAAGGTTTGTTGATGTATGGAGGGAAGTCTCCGACCAATGGTCGTTATGATGACATATTTTTCTATGGAGTAGACTCTGCTTAAGAACGGTCAGTGTTGGTGAGTTTGTGAGTCTTCGTAAGTGTGGTATATATGTTGCATCAAGGAGGGATTTGGTTTGTAAGACTCTTCCTTGGTTTGTCTACATTATATTTTGTGTGTTTGTGTTTTATTGAAATATATTGATCAATAAGTGTAGAACCGGATTTTAAAATATAAGTGTATAATCAAGTAATGTTTGTTGTGGCATATAACTTATCAGTATCACGTTACAAAAATAGATAAGAACATATTTATTAACATTTTATTGAAATATATAACACGTTCACAAAATATCACATTTATAGCGATTTGTAGTACGTGGTAACTATATATATACTATAGCTGTCGATATATAAAAATATATAGTATATGATCATATATAAAGTTAGGTAGACTACAATCAACTTATTTATATGTGAAAAAAAATGTGCAGTTTTTTTTTCTAAGTGACATAGTTTTGAATTATAGAATAACACAATATCTACTCTAAATAACGGTTCAATTAAAAACAAAAAAAAATTATATAATAATAAAAAAAATTAATTACCTAAACATTTTTTTGTAAACTGATTTATCTAATTTACTCTTCCAATATGGTTATCTACCTAATTGATCCATCTGACTATAACTAAAACATTGATTAAGATTAAAATAATTGAGATTTATGTTTACTAAAAAGGATAGATTTTATATCTACAGTTTTATTAGAAAAAAAGAACATATATTGTCATATGGAAAGTTTGATTGGATATTTTGTCATATTTGTTTGGTATAACAAATTCATAGTGTTTTTTCATTGTTGCACAACGTGGAATGCATTTTTCTTTGCGTTTTATTACAAATGTAACCGTTTTCGATCATAACAACTCCTATCATTGTCACAAACAGTTACATTTTTTGTTTTAACTCAAAGAGTTAATTTTTTATTTTATTTTTCAAAACAAAACATTAAACTTATTTGAGAAAAGATTGTAAACGCGAGAAAATGTTTGTGACGAATAAGTTAATAACATTAACATAAATATATCCCCAAAAAAAAGAAAAAAAAAAACAAAAAACTCATTCCAAAAAATGGCTTAATAAATATCGCACCACGCTTCTATCACAGATTCACAATCCACAACCTCCAAAGTAACTCTCATCCTCTTCACTGTACTCTTTGTTTCTCTTCTTTTTTTTTCTTTTCGAGTTTTCTTTAGTATTAAACAATAAAACGGCGAAGTTTGATTATATTATGTATTAAGATGTTTAGTTATTTTTTCTAACTAGTGATTTCAAAGTAACTTATATATGAAGAAAAATTTGTTTAGGACTTTCTTTTGATAAAAGGCTTCCAACCGTACTTCCATTGCTGTATATTTTTCTTAGCAAGTGTAATTGAGTTTGATTTATTACACTCAGACACATTGACTAGTTTCATACATCATACATGGTCCAATTAAATCGGTTAAGAGTATATATTATTGTCACAAATGTATTGTTTCATTTTTTGTAGACAAATATTATAATTTATATCAAAATATGCATTCAATGGATTATTCTAAAAGCAAAAAGTAATAGCTTTTATAATTTCAGGAAAAAAATCTGAAAGATGTCGACTGGAGTACCCCAAAAAATAGAAGCACAAGGAGGAAAAGAAGGCAAACAATGGGATGATGGAGCCGATCATGATGGTGTGGCTAAGATATATGTAGCAGCTGGTGGTCTTGGAATTGAGCAAATCAGATTCGATTATGTAAAGAACGGACAACCAAAGGAAGGATCTTTTCATGGTGTGAAAGGTAGAAGCACCATTTCGACGGTATGTTGCTTCTTAATTTATAGTTTTAAGTTATTTTTACTATATCGGAATTAAATCATAATGAACCATTTTTTGGTTTCAGTTTCTAGTCCAGCTTTGAAAGATGATTATTAGTGAAATTCTAGGGTTAAAATTATGAATTCTGGGAGTACAGGTTTTCTTAAACGTCTATCTCTAACACATTTAACGGAAAGTTAAAAGATAACTTTTTGACAATTAAAAAAAAAGTTGGGTATTTATTAAGTTGGGTATAATTTTAAGTTGACAATTTTAAAATCGAATCAATTATCAATCTTTAATTCTATTTTTAAGTTTATTTTAACCAATTTTCGTTTCAGTTTCAATAAAATCAAATCTTTAATTCTAGTTTCAAGTTTTAATTAGACTACTGACATATTTTTTTCTCGAGCAATTTTGACAGATTGATATTAGCCATCCAGACGAGTATCTCGTTTCGGTCGAGGGTTGGTACGACTCTTCCAATATCATTCAAGGGATTCAGTTTCAATCCAACAAACACACTTCTCAGTACTTTGGATACGAGTTTTCTGGTGATGGTAAACAATTTTCACTTCAAGTTAAGGACAAGAAGATCATTGGTTTCCATGGGTTTGCTGATACTCATCTCAATTCTCTTGGAGCTTATTTTGCATCCATCTCTTCCTTGACTCCTCCCAACAAAGTGGAAGCTCAAGGAGGAAATGGTGGGGAAACATTCGACGATGGTGCTTTTGATCATGTAAGAAAGGTTTATGTTGGTCAAGGCGAGTCTGGTGTAGCTTATGTCAAATTCGAATACGAAAAAGACGGGAAAAGTGAGACACGAGAGCATGGTAAAATGACATTGTTAGGAACAGAGGAGTTTGAGGTTGACTCAGATGATTACATCACATCAGTTCAAGTTTCTGTCGACAAAGTCTTTGGTTATAACAGCGACATCGTCACTGCTCTTGTCTTCAAGACCTTCAAGGGTAAAACCTCACCGCCTTTTGGAATGGTGACTGAGAAGAAATTCGAACTTAAAGACGGTAAGGGAGGGAAACTTGCTGGATTCCATGGGAAAGCGAGTGATGTTCTTTATGCTCTTGGTGCTTATTTCGCTCCAACAACTACTTCAATTACTCCGTTGACACCTTCTACTGCTAAGAAGCTACAAGCAAGAGGTGGTAATGGAGGAGCTTCTTGGGATGATGGTGTTTTTGATGGCGTTAGAAAGATACTTGTAGGTCAAGGAAACGATGGAGTGGCTTTTGTCACGTTTGAGTACAACAAAGGCTCTCAAGCTATCATCGGTGATGGTCATGGGAAACAAACAGCACTTGGAACTGAAACGGTTTAATTCTCTTTTGATCTCTCTAATTTGTTTCTAGTTTCTCCCAAAAGTTGATTTCTTGACATAATTTTTATTCTTCTTGATTTTGTAGTTTGAGCTTGATTATCCAAGTGAGTATATCACTTCGGTGGAAGGTTACTATGATAAAATCTTTGGAGTTGAAGCTGAAGTGGTGACGAGTCTAACGTTCAAGACTAACAAGAGAACGTCTCAGCCGTTTGGAATGACTGCTGGGGAACATTTCGAGCTTAAGGAAGACGGTTACAAGATCGTTGGGTTCCACGGCAAAGCTGGTGATGTGGTTCATCAGATCGGAGTCCATGTTGTGCCCATTTTCACAAATTAAAGAATTACTATTTAGTTTTTCTCTCTGATGATTCCATAAAATAAGGTCCATATGGACCATGCATGCTTATGGATTTGGGTGTGTGTTTTAGCGTCAATGTTTTATGCGAACATATGATGTTCTGCCTTCATGTGTCTTGTCACTAGTTGATTTTAATAAAGGATGTTTCTTTTCCATCTCTTTTTTAGATCTATCTAATCTATCATAACTTGTGCAGTTTTTCTTGCGATGAATACTTTGGATGATAACCAATACTAAAAATCGCAACAAAGAAATAACACATTTGATCATTTTTGTTTTTTTTTTTGTGCAAAGATCATTTTGTTAACAAGTAATTCTTTTCAAAAGAAACAACGTGTATATCTGCTTCTTACATTCTATCATCCTATGTGTGGGGCTGTTTTTGGTGTCAATGCTTTTTGCGAACATGTGATGTTCTGCCTTCATGGTGTCTTGTAGAAAAAGCTATGTTTGTAAAGTATAAATATTTTTAGTTTTTCATCATAAAATATTTTCCTAAAACTCATAGGCCGAATGGAAAAAAAATTGTTTTATTTGCGTTTGTGTATGTAAGTAACAGGAAAGATATGTTGAAATGTTAAAAGTTGTTGGTAGATAGTTTTAAAAACTACGCAATAAAAATAAAAACGAACACACTATTAGGCCATGTTCGTTTCATAATTGAAAGCGATTGCGACTGCGATTTTGAAATCGCGGGATGTTGTTCGTTTAGCATTCGCGCGACTAATCTGCATTAAAGTTGTATTGCTAATTTTTCATGCGATCAAAAAATTCAGTCGCAAATCGTAGTGACTGATCACGCGATTAGTCGCAGGATCCTGCTACTGTCAAACGAACAACTTTCAGACGCAATCGCAGCCACATCCGCAAGAGGCCTGCGACTGCCAAACGAACAGAAATATAGAGATTTATAGAGATGACACCTTACCCGTGTCAATATCCAGGTAGAGCCGCCATGAGTACAAGCGGGCCAAATCCATGTTTGCGGCCATTAGTACGATAAATAAAACTTCGGCCAAAATTTTATAAAAGATTCATCAGCGAATTAGGCATTCACTTACTTGAAGCTTGAAAGGGTTAAGAGTTCGAAACATTCTTCCTTCATATCACTTGTCTTAAGTTTTATTTTTTTAACTCTCTAAATAATATTGACCAAATTTTTGTTTTCTGATTGTAATCCATTAAAACCCGGGGCGGCTGTAACATCCCGATTTCAGGAATATAGTGGTGCATGCGGAGAGGTTTAAAAGAATTGATTTGACCACTTATGTTACCAAAGTGCACTTATCTTTTCGGTTATACGTCTCGAGAGAACTTCATAGTTAAGCGTGCTTTAGTGAAAATATCATGTGGTGATTTGTAGGATCGGTAAACAAGTCTTTTAAAGCCTCCCGGATGTAGCGGACCGACTGTCGGATAGAGGTGGACCCCACGGATCCGAGAGAAGATGTGGGTGATCACTGGTAAGGTCGGTCGGGGCGTTACAGCGACTCCAGATTGATGTTTTGGGTAAGAACTTTCTAGTTGTACGGGTTATAAAACCGAGTGTTATACGGTTTTGATGGCCATGATGTGAAATATTATCCTAATTATCTTAGTAAGATATAGATTGGTTTAGTTTTATTACAGATTTCAAAATATGTTGTCATACATAAAATTTAATGGATGATAAAAATTAGGTGCCTATTGATTTTTGTTATTTTTTGTTTGGTGTAACAAATTCATGGTTTATTGGCTTTTATATTTGTTAGTTGGACCATGTGGGAAGCATTTCTCTCACGTTTAAAAGGAATGTAACCGTTTTCAAGAATTATAACTCCTATCATTGTCACGAAGAACATAAAGACTTTGTATAGGTGAGGTTTTCACTTTCACATTATATAAGAAATATTTACTATCTCCTATCACTATCCACAATCTCGCAAGTTACTCTCATTCCTCAATCCTCATCGTACTCTCTTTACTCAGGTTACTATTTCTCAGTTCTTTTTTTTGGTTTTACTCTGTCTTTCTTTTCGAGTTTTCTTAACTATTGATCGGCGAAAACGGCGTAGTTTGATTATTTTATGTTTTGTGTTTCCTCTCTAAGTAGTGACTACTGCTAGATTTCAAAGAACTTAATAAACAAATTATTATTTAAACTGTTTTTTCAATTTTGTATTCGTTTCTTAACAAAGGCTTTAAGGTAGACTTTTTTTCTTTTTCTAACTGATTAGTTTATTAGGAAATTGCCGAATCAAAGAAATCATAGTGCAATACATCATATATTGCTTTTGGAACATTAAAATGATATTAGACTTAATTTTCCGGTTTTCTTTTCTCTCTTATGGTTTGTTACTTGGGTTTCAAGTTTCGACTTGTTTAAATTTATTGACTAAGGAATATTATTATTAATTTTAAAATATGTCCTATAATTTTCATATTTCTAATGTCTCTATGTTATTGTACATGTTTCTCCTACATATACTTAGTCAAAATCCAGATTTTTTTCTGATGATTTCCTCTCGTTAAGTATGTAAATATAATTATGTTAAAGACTCAAAAGGAGATCAATTGATATTGTCTTGAAAAAGTATTTCCTAAGTAATGGAACCTGTGAAATAATATTCGATAGAAAGGTAATTATCCAGGCTAATACGTTTTTTCACACTTGTGATAAGTAATAAAACATAGTTTGTGTGATTGTGTTGCTTCCTGTTATTCTGTTTTACATATGAACAAACCATTGGGTTTGTTATTAATTTCTTGGTTCTTAGTGTGTGTTTCTGAAAAAACGTTTCCATCTTTCAGGTTTTCTCTGAATTTAAAAGATAGAAACAATGTCGGAAAAGGTGGGAGCGATGGGTGGTAACAAGGGAGGAGCGTTCGACGATGGTGTTTTTGATGGTGTGAAGAAAGTAATAGTTGGAAAAGACTTCAGCAAGGTAACTTATATCAAGATCGAATACGAAAAGGACGGAAAATTCGAAATTCGTGAACACGGGACTAATCGCGGAGAACTAAAAGAGGTAATGAAACAAACAAGACTTTGTTATTCGTCAATGGTTCTTAATTCTTATTCAACCCTTAAAAGCTAATAATTTGTTTGTTTTTGATGGAAAATGAAATCCAGTTTTCAGTGGATTATCCGAATGAATATATCACAGCCGTTGGTGGAAGCTACGATACTGTTTTCGGTTATGGATCAGAATTGATCAAATCATTACTCTTCAAAACATCTTATGGAAGAACCTCTCCGATACTTGGTCATACGACATTACTAGGGAATCCAGCTGGGAAAGAATTCATGCTCGAGAACAAAAATGGAGGAAAGCTTCTTGGTTTCCATGGACGTTCTGGTGAAGCTCTTGATGCTATTGGACCTCACTTCTTCGCTGTGAACTCTTCTCTTAAGCACTTTAAACTGCAAGGTGGGAATGGAGGGAGTGCTTGGGACGATGGCGCTTTCGATGGTGTTAGAAAAGTGCTCGTTGGACGAAATGGTAAGTTTGTGAGTTATGTCCGGTTTGAGTATGCGAAAGGCGAAAGAATGGTACCACATGCTCATGGGAAGAGACAAGAAGCTCCACAAGAGGTATCTTCATAGAAATCTTTATGTAGTTTCTTGTATGCTAAGATATTCTTATTATTATTCTCTTTTGATCTGAGAAACTCTTAAATTTGGTTGCAGTTTGTGGTGGATTATCCTAATGAACATATTACATCGGTCGAGGGAACAATCGATGGTTACCTTTCGTCGCTTACATTTAAGACATCCAAAGGAAGAGTCTCCCCTGCTTTTGGGAATGTGGCTGGTAATAAATTTGTGTTCGAAGAAACAGGTTTTAAACTTGTTGGGTTTTGTGGTCGGTCTGGTGAGGCTATTGATGCTCTTGGTGCACATTTTGCCCCTCTTCCCGCTCCAACTCCAGCTCCAGCTCCCACTCCAGCTCCAGCTCCAGCTCCCGCTCCAGCTCCAGCTCCAGCTCCCGCTCCAGCTCCAGCTCCCGCCAATAACATTGTGACCAAGATCTACATTTCATCTGGTACAGGAGGGATTGAGCAAATCAAGTTCAATAATGTCGAAAAGGGAGAGACAAAGGAAAGACCTCTTCATGGTGTGAAGGGTAAAAATATCATTTCAACGGTTAGTTAGCATTTTTTGGTTACACTCTCTGAATGTTTATTGAGACATATTACTCACATGTTTAAAAGTTTTCTCTGATTTTTGCAGGTTGTGATAAGCAATCATCCCGATGAGTATCTCGTTTATGTTGAGAGTTGGTACGATTCTTCCAATGTCTTTCAAGGAATTAAGTTCAAAACCGACAAGAACACTTCTGATTTCTTTGGTTATAAACTTTCTGAGGATGATGGTACACCATTTTCTCTTCAAGTTAAGGATAAGAAAATCACCGGCTTTACTAGATTCGCGGACTCGAATCTCAATTTTCCTGGAACTTACTTTGTACTAAACCATTCCGCATTGACTCCTCCAAACAAAGTGGAAGCTCAAGGAGGAAATGGTGGGGATACATTCGACGATGGTGGTTTCGATCATGTAAGAAAGGTTTATGTTGGTCAAGGTGATTCCGGTGTAGCTTATGTCAAATTCGAGTACGAAAAAGATGGTAAAAGCGAGACACGAGAGCATGGAAAAATGACAGTATTAGGAACAGAGGAGTTTGAAGTTGATCCTGATGATTACATCACATCAGTTCAAGTTTCTGTCGACAAAGTCTTTGGTTATAAAAGTGAAATCGTCACTGCTCTTGTCTTCAAGACCTTTAAGGGTAAAACCTCACAGCCTTTTGGAATGGTGACTGAGAAGAAATTTGAACTTGACGGTAAGGGAGGAAAACTTGTTGGCTTCCATGGGAAAGCTAGTGATGTTCTTTATGCTCTTGGCGCTTATTTCGCTCCATCGACAACTTCAACTACTCCATCGGTGCCAACTTCGACTACTCCATCGACTCCTTCTACTGCTAAGAAGCTACAAGCAATAGGTGGTAATGGAGGAGCTTCTTGGGATGATGGTGTTTTTGATGGTGTTAGAAAGATACTTGTAGGTCAAGGAAACGATGGAGTAGCTTTCGTCACGTTTGAGTACAACAAAGGCTCTCAAGCAGTCCTCGGTGATGGTCATGGGAAACAAACAGTACTTGGAACTGAAACGGTTCAATTCTCTTTTGATCTCACTAATTTGTTTCTAGTTTCTCCCAAAAATTGATTTCTTGACCTAATTTTTCTCTTCTTCTTGATTTTGTAGTTTGAGCTTGATTATCCAAGTGAATACATCACTTCGGTGGAAGGTTACTATGATAAAATCTTTGGAGTTGAAGCTGAAGTGGTGACGAGTCTAACGTTCAAGACTAACAAGAGAACGTCTCAGCCGTTTGGTTTGACAGGTGGTGAACATTTCGAGCTGAAGGAGGATGGTTACAAGATCGTTGGGTTCCATGGAAAAGCTGGTAATGTGGTTCATCAGATCGGAGTCCATGTCGTGCCCATTTAAACCTATTAGAGAGTTATTATTTAGGTTCTTTTCTCTGATGATTCCCTTAAATAAGGTCCATAGACCATTCATGCTTTTGGCTTTGGTGTGTGTGTGTTTCTTGGGATTTTTTTTTTAACTTCTTCTCTGTTTTAGTGTCAATGCTTTATGCGATCATGTGATGATGTTCTGCCTTCATGGTATTGGTATCATTCCTGTCACTTGTCGATTTTAATAAAGGATGTTTCTTTTCAATCTGTTTTTAGATCTTGTTTAATTTTGGTGTGTATGTTTTTACATGTAAAAATCCAAAAAATAATAATAATTCATGTTTTTTGCATTTACAAAATAAAAAGTTAAAAAAAAAAACATCCTAGCAACATGATGATAAACGAGAAATTAAACCATAACATATGTGATCGAGATTAACAGTTTTTCGCTTCAATTCTTTTCCGCTATTACTAGCATTGTTTCGCTACAAAACCTGCGATTAATAAATAATAAAAAAATAAAAATAAAAAAACTTTATAAAAAAAAATTGATATACCAACCCCATCACATGTTAATTGTTGCACATATTTTATTTTGTAATCTCGTCAAATGTTATTAAGTCGAATACAATTAAATACATGCGACATACTTACTACACGTCTACCATATCCAAGAAAAACTCCCTTCTAGGTGTTATAAACTCTTCCACACATATTTTTAGCAGCAAAAATGGTCCACAAAAATTATTGTTTCTTTCCCTCAATTTTCCAAACTTCTTTTGTCATCCTCATCCACCTAAGAAAATTTGGGAAAACGTTTTCTTTTTCTTGTGGGAAGAAGCATGTTCTATATTTTTTTGTAACCAAAAATGTTTTATATTGCCATGTGACAAATAAGAGTAACTAACTTATCCCGAAAATGGCAATAAATATGGAACCATTAGCCACCCTCAATTATTGCAACTCTCACTCTCCTCCTATCATCCTCCTCTCAGGTACTCGTTTTCTGCTCTCTGTCTCATTTCGATTTTTCTTAGTATTTTATAGAAATACATCCTCAAAAACTGCGTAGTTTGGAGATTAAACAATTCATGGAAAGAAAAAAAACAGAGATTTCAAAGAATATGATAGGACTATATAGGACTACTGAGTTGAAGTATTTAATAAACTTTCAAGCATTTATGAGCAAATCATTATTGTGGCTATATACAGTAAAACCTCTATAAATTAATACTCTATAAATTAATAACCTCTCTAAATTAATAAATTCTTCCGGTCCCAAGTTGGGACCAGTGTAAAATATGACATAAATCGATAAATTAATAAGATAATAATTTTTTTGAAAATCTTATGTAAACATATGGTCCCATCTATATCATAAATTAATAATTATATTAACTTATCAATATATATACATATATATATATTATATAAATTTATATATGTTATATATGAATTACTATGATATATATTTAAAATATTATATGTAAAAAATTTGATGAAATATGACTCTATTATTCGAAAAAAGTTTGTGTTGTTTTTTAAACTTAATAATTGTTTCTCTATTTGTAATTAGTTTTTAAGAAATATTGTTTATAAAGAAAAAATTTATTTTTAGATAGAAATTTTTTTAAAAAATTACAAAATTAGTAAAATCTCTCTATAAATTAATAATTATTAATTTATCGATAAATTAATACCTCTCTAAATTAATAAAATTTCATGGTCCCAACATTATTAATTTATAGAGGTTTTACTGTATGTTGATATCAGTCATTTCCCCCAACAACTCATTTATTTATTTTTCTCTTTTTTGCCATTTTGTTAACAAAATATTTGAGGCAAACACTTAATTCAAATTACTTTCTAATTTCTTCCAATTAGTACTAGTAAGTATGCTATGTTTCTTTTCTTCAGTAGCATCAAAGGAGCTTTTCGTTTCTTTTATCAAATCTATATATTTCCATTTCCAAATCATCGTACGATCAAATTTGTTTTCCATTGTAAGTTGATCAATATATTATATTTTCATCATCATAAGTCGAAAAGAAAAATAAATTATTATTTTCATTTTCATTGTAAGAGTCTTTTACGTCTTGTTAATATTTTCATTTTTATAACTTCTTTTTTTGAACAAATATTTCTGTAATAATTTTCAGGAGATATCAAACCGATTTAAACTTCCACGATGTCTTGGGACGACGGAAAACACACGAAGGTTAAGAGAGTTCAGCTTACGTTTGATGACGTCATCAGATCTATCGAGGTCGAATACGACGGAACCTCTCTTAAGTCCCAGCCACGTGGTCCCGTTGGCACCACATCTGACGGAGTTAGTAAACAAAATTGTTCACATTTAAGTACATATTAATCTCTGGAAGATCAATTAGTAATTAAACATTGTGATTCTTTAATTACGTTTGAAATTAGATATAAAAGATCTTTTTTAAAAAATTTGTCCATTTATACTTTATCTAGATAAGTTTGGTGAAATTGGTTTTTAGAAAAATTAAAAGCCAATTATACCCTTAATTAAAATAAATTACAGAACTAAAAAAATATTATTTTCTATCTCCAAATCCAAAAACTCTAAATAGAATAGAGGCTTTACTTCCAAAATGCAAACCCCAATTATAAATCCGTTTTAGTCCAAATCGTGGAAAAAAAACTATTGTATCAATTTGGGATGTTAAAGATGGGCTCGTGTGCCCGTCCTCCCTTTGTCCACTGTGTAAATAGTTTCTTTATATTCAACTTTACAGAATGTTTAAAGTTAAAATATTGCCTCAATTTGTCTCCTATTTTAATAGCATTAGTATAATCTCCACGGTTTGAACAAAAAAAAAAAAATACAATCTCCACCGAGCACGGTTACTTCAACTATAGAGTCATTACAAGAAGTGGATTTCATAATTTGTGATGCTTTCTATTAAAGAGAAAACGTTTTTAATATTTTAATTAATTCTAAATTTTTCAAAATATGTATTTTGATTTTTGTAGAACTTAATCAAAAAAATATTTTTATATATTCGATTTTCCAAATTTGTAGATTTAGTTTCCTTTTTGAAAGATTCACTTTCTATATTTAGGAATTCTAAAAATTTCAGAAATTGAAATCTATATTATTTTAGAAAATGAATTCTAAAATAATAATACGTTTTCTAACGTTTTCAGAACATGTAGTAAATCGTAGAATGGATTTTCTGACTAAAATTAGAGCATGAAGAAAAGCGTAGAATACATGTTCTACTGATTTTTGGAAATTGTATTCCGCTCTTCTGAATATGTTAGAACATATATCTAATCTAAAAATCGTAGAACATGTACAAAAGTTTAGAATACAAATTCAGGTTTTCGTAGAACATGTACAAAAGTTTAGAATATAAACACTGATATTCGTAGAACACTAGAAAATGTATTCTAATAATATTAGACGAAATTTTATCCATCAAAAAATCAACTTTTTTTTAACTAAATCACCAACTTTTTTTTACAAAACATCTATAATCTTGTATATCTACATGTTTTTTTGGTAAAATCATTTAAAAAATGTTTAAAATAGAGAGTAAGGGTATTTTAGTCCAAAGTGACATTCTTAAAAAAAAGGTGTATATGGTCAAACTTTTTTTTAGAACTCCTTTATTTCTAATTTTCCCTTTGAATTTTGCAGTTTACACTAAGCTCCGATGAGTACGTAACCGAAGTGAATGGTTACTACAAAACTACTTTTTCGGGAGAAGTCATAACGTCGTTGACGTTCAAGACGAACAAAAGGACATATGGGACTTACGGAAACAAAACCAGAAACTATTTTTCTGTTACCGCACCAACAGATAACCAGATTGTTGGTTTTCTAGGAAGTAGCAGCCATGCTCTCAACTCCATCAACGCTCATTTTGCCCCTGCTCCTCCCTCTGGTAGCACCGGAACTAAGCCCGGTGCTAGTGGCATCGGAAGTAATGAAGATGGCGAAAAAAGTAACACCGGAGGAAAAGAAACAAACACTGGAGGCAAAGAATCTAACACCGGAGGCGAAGAAACAAACACCGGAGGCAAAGAAACAAACACCGGAGGGAAAGAACCCAACACCGGAGGCAAAGAAACAAACACCGGAAGCGAAGAATCTAACACCGGAGACAAAGAAACAAACACCGGAGGCAAAGATACAAACACCGGAAGCAAAGAATCTAACACCGGAGGCAAAGATTCTAACACCGGAAGCGAAGAATCTAACACCGGAGGCAAAGAAACAAACACCGGAGGGAAAGAACCTAACATCGGAGGCAAAGAAACAAACACCGGAAGCAAAGAATCTAACACCGGAGGCAAAGAAACAAACACCGGAGGCAAAGATTCAAACATCGGAGGCAAAGATTCTAACACCGGAGGTAAAGAATCTAACACCGGAGGCAAAGATTCTAACACCGGAGGAAAAGATTCTACTACCGGAAGCAAAGAATCTAACACCGGAGGCAAAGATTCTAACACCGGAAGCAAAGAATCTAACACCGGAAGCGAAGAATCTAACACTGCAGGCAAAGATTCTACCACCGGAAGCAAAGAATCTAACACCGGAGGCAAAGAATCTAACACCGGAAACGAATCCAACACCAGTTCTAGTCCTCAAAAGTTGGAAGCACAAGAAGGCAAAGAAGGAAATCAATGGGATGACGGAGCCGATCATGATGGTGTTATGAAGATACATGTTGCAGCTGGTGGTCTAGGAATTGATCAAATTAGATTCGATTATGTCAAGAACGGACAGTCAAAGGAAGGACCCTTCCACGGTGTCAAAAGAAGAAGTGGCAGTTCAACGGTGCGTAATTAAATTTTATTATTATGGCTCAATTATTTTTTTGAATCAAGTGTTAATATGTTTTTTGATTCTGCAGTTTGTGATCAATCATCCCGAAGAGTATCTTGTTTCCGTCGAGGGTTGGTACGACTCTTCCAATATCATTCAAGGAATTCAGTTTAAATCCAACAAACACACTTCTCAGTACTTTGGATATGAATTTTCTGGAGATGGTAAACAATTTTCACTTCATGTTAATGACAAGAAGATCATTGGTTTCCATGGTTTTGCGGACTCGCACCTTACTTCCCTTGGAGCTTATTTCGTTCCAATCTCATCCTCTTCTTCCTCCTTGACTCCTCCTCCCAACAAAGTTAAAGCTCAAGGAGGAAATTATGGAGAAACCTTTGATGATGGTGCTTTCGATCATGTAAGAAAGGTTTATGTTGGTCAAGGTGATTCTGGTGTAGCTTATGTCAAGTTCGATTACGAGAAAGACGGGAAAATAGAGACACGTGAGCATGGAAAAATGACATTGTTAGCAACAGAGGAGTTTGAGGTTGATTTAGATGATTTCATAACATCAATGGAAGTCTATGTCGACAAAGTCTACGGTTATAAAAGTGAAATCGTCGTTGCTCTTACCTTCAAGACCTTTAAGGGCAAAACCTCACCGCGTTTTGGAGTAGAGACTGAGAATAAATATGAAGTCAAAGATGGTAAAGGAGGAAAACTTGCTGGTTTCCATGGAAAAGCTAGTGATGTTCTTTATGCTCTTGGTGCTTATTTCACTCCAACAGCAATATAGAGAGTTTTTAAGTTTCCTTCTCTCTTTATTACGTAAAATAAGTTTCATGCTTACGCATTTGTCACTTGGAAGTTTGAATAATTCAGCTTTTACTATGTTTGGATGTAATTTATGCGATCATATGTAATGTTTCTACTTTGATGGTGTGTTGTACTTGTCGATATTAATAAAGGATGTTTGTTTTCAATCTCCTTTTTGGTTTTAAAAAACCAATTTTGGTATGTATGTTGGTTTTTTTTACATGTTTGTAAAATACCTAGTGCCTAGTAGTTTTCATGAAATTTCACCTGCCACCAATTGTTTACCTCAATGTTAAAGGGGAACAAAGAACTTTAGGCATTACCAAATGCGAGTTGATAACACAAGTATTTCATAACTTGGAAGAGCCATCTGCAATTTCCCTTGTGGCGAATATCTTGGAATTACATCAAATGGATGAGAACTAATATACTAAAATTCACAAAACAACATATTTGATAATTTGTTAGCGAGTAAAGTTCTCTGAAAGAAAACAACGTTGAATCCGCTTCTTAAAATGGTAAAACAGTAGCACCTTTTTCTTAAGGAGATAATATAAACTAAAATGTAGCATGCAAATACAAAATTCAACATAAATATTCTTAAATTATTATTATTTTCTTAAATTATAACTTGAAAGAAGTTGCATTTCAATTAGGATATAATTCAATGATCCAATAAGAATAAGCGCCGTAAATAATCTTTGGGGGCTTAAAGCCAGCTTTCTTAGCTAGATCTTCAAATTCCTCTTCGGTTCTCTCTTTCCCCCCAGACGTTACAGCCATCATCGTCAAATCTAAACACAATGAGTTCTTGGTTGCAAGATCGGTTTCTGATACTTCTCGCGGTAATATCATTTCAATTACAATGATTCTTCCAGTTTCCGGTAATGCTTTCTTACACTTTTTTAGTATTTCCACACATTTTTCATCGTTCCAATCATGAAGTATCCACTGAATCATACAAAGTAAAACTAACATTGTTAGTATTGTTAGAAGTATCACCTCCTCAATTATGAACAGTCACTTCAAAAAAAAAAATTTGTTGCAAGTATTGAAACTGTTTGACTCTATTAAACAGATAGTTATAACAAAGATGGAATTCAAATTGATTTACCTTCATCAATATAGCTTCGCCTCGTGGAATTACATCAAACATATCACCACCAATGTGTTCCACGCCTGGAAAGAGTTGAATTAATCATCAAACAAGTAACTACTAGCTAGGTAGTCTATACGTTTTAGATGGTCTAGGAAGTGATAAGACGATTCGATGAAGGAGCAACCAATTTCTTTGTTTACTGACTAATCGATCAAAAACCAACTAAAACTAGTTTTGAGAAAGAAAAAAAAGTTACCATGAATTTGGGGAGCTTCTTTGACTATGTGAGGCAAGTCGAAGTTGACACCTTTGATATGCGGGTACTTGGAGAGGATTTGGGTAAGATTACTGCCTAAGCTTCCTCCTACATCTACCAAATCACTCAAACTTTCAAAACCATTGTAATTCTCTAGTATTTTCTTCATTACTATTGATGTATGACTCATCATCGCCTCGTTGAATCTTTCCTTAGTATTTGCATTTTCCTTCATGTATTCAAAGACCAATGCCCCATTAGCTCTCTCATATGCCGATGCTCCACCTTCTTGTATTGCCTCCGTGAGGTAAGACCTTTTCATGCAAAGAAACTCGTATTAGTACGAATAATATATAGACATATATATTGCAATTAAAAGAACTCAAAAGAGAACATTTTCATATTTGGAACATGTTGTATATATCATACCATACACCTCCCTTGGCTATTGTGCTACGTAGTAGCACAAAGGGCGCAATTGAAAGTCCATCTTCATCCTTAACCAACTTCTTTCCAACTTTTCCTAATCCGTATCCTCTAGACTCTCGTCCTTCTTCGTCTTTCACCAACTTACACGTGCATACCGAATATGCCACAAGGAAACGTAGCAATCTATCAATCATCATTGGAGCGTCTGGATTTTTCGGTGCAGCCATGGAAGCCAAATCCAACGGTGAGAGATAGATCAACGGGTTTACAAAGACATTATACATAATTATTGTAACACATTAAAAAAAATACAGCAGTGCTTTTCGAAAAGTAGTCTTACTTACTAACCGATCATAAGATTTGTTATTGTCCAACTTCATATTTTATTTTTCAATGTTACGATTTGCATGTAACATCTTGTGGCTGAACTTTCTTTTTGCAAACCATAACTATAAACCCGTTGTGTCCAAACATAACTCTGAAATATAGACGTAGTGGTACCAAGGCTTTCGTACCAAAGTCTTTCTAGAATATCTAGACTCTTTAACTTTCTTCAACATAATTACAAATAACTTTACCGTAGTAGCAATTGCGACCTTAGCATCTTTTGAGAACAGCTTCTTACCAGATTTGAACAAATCTCTACAGTTTAGCGGGAATGACCATAGATCTCGGCGCAATATCAGGTTGATCAAAGAAACAAGTTGTGATGTGATTGGTCCTACAACACGCTCAGCAACACCATCACCAATAGTCCACCCGTCTGGCATTTGAGAAGTCATAGTCCAAAATTTTTGTTTTTGTGGATTCAAGTATTCAACGATACCATAACAAGGAGGAAACGAATTGTCGTTGCCATCTCTGCTATATGGTCCATAGATAAAGTCATGGGGAAAACATCAATTATAATGTGAATTCCTTGATTATTGCGTCCAATTCCTAGAAGAACACATTTTTAACCCAAAAAAAAACACGTATTTAAAAACATTTCAATAATCAATTTAAATAAATAAAAAATTGACAAATTTTAAATTATTATTCAGGAGGTGTCAACCCCAAATGTCTGTAGATCCGTTGAACTGGAGCAAGCAGTTCAAAGTTTCTCCTAAAATGCGCTCGAACCCAAGGGATCATAACCTTCTCACTCTTTTAAAAAGGTCATGTTTAAGCCAATATATCACAATTTCTAAATACTTCGAATTTATGAATTTCGTCATAGAAAATTAAATGGAGTTAAGGATAGTTGTAACACCCCGGTTTCAAGAATATTATGGTGCATGCGGAGAGGTTTAAAATGACTGATTTGGCCATCTATGTAACCAAAGTGCACTTATCTTTTCGGTCAACTGTCCTGAGAGAACTCCACAATTAAGCGTGCTTTGGCTGGAGTAGTAGGATGGGTGACCTTCCGGGAAGTGATTGTCGGAACTGTGTGAGTGAGGACAAAACACAGGAAAAGATCATGTGGTGATTTGTAGGGTCGGTAAACAAGTCTTTAAAGCCTCCCAGACGTAGCGGACCGGCCGTCGGACACGGGTGGGCCCATGGGCCGAGATAGGATGTGGGACGCATTAAGAGAGATTGCGGTCGGGACATTACAATAGCACTGAGACTTTTAAAAGGATTTCTTCACTAAACAGGGCATTAGAACAATTCTGGTCCAAATGGGTAGAACAGAGGTGCGAAGTCCAAAAACCCGTGATCAATTACGAATTTTTTTTAATAAAAAAGCCCGTTTAAAAACAAAAGTCTAGACCCAAAATTTAAGTTTTCCATATCTATTTTATTTAAAGGGTCCAAAAAAAAATTATGGCCCTGATGTCAAAAAAAAAAAGTTATGGCCCTAAAACTACCAAATACTCCCTCCTAGGTCTGGGCATTTGGATTTCGGATCGGATTCGAGTCAGATATATTCGAATTCGGATAATTCGGGTATGAGAGTTTATTATCCGTTCGGATTTTATGAATTTTCGGTTCGGTTTCGGTTCGGATGTATTCCTATTCGGATAATTTGGGTAGGAGAGTTTATTATCCGTTTGGATTTTATGAGTCATCGGTTCGGTTTCGGTTTGGATAAGTATCGGATTCAGATCAGTTTTCGGGAAAAAAAAACTAAAAAATCGTTCAATGTAAATAAAAATTGATTTAATCTTACTAAAATTGGTTAAATTTTGCAAAAATATGTACAAATTTAACAAATATAACTAAAAAGTTTCCAAAATCTAGGTTATTTAAGATATTTTTGTTATTTGCTACAAAATTATAACTAAATATAACTCATATTTTTGGATATATAATTTTATTTCCGGTTTTCGGATATCCATTCGGTTTTCGGTTCGGATCGGGTTCGGTTCGGGTAATTTGGATAGGAAAATTCATTATCCGTTCGGGTTTTGTGACTATTCGGTTCGGATTCGGTTCCGGATTTTTCGGATCGGTTTTCGGATTTTGGGTTTTATGCCCAGCCCTACTCCCTCCGTTTCACAAAAAGTGTCGTTTTAAGGTTTTAATCTCGTTTCACAAAGAGTGTCGTTTTGTGTTTTCAATGCAGTTTTAAAGACTAATTCTCTTTTTTATCCCTACTATTTCAGCTTATTAATTAGAGAGAGGGTATTATTTAGTGTATTAATAAGGAATAAAAATGAAATTTGTTTTCTTTTTTTTAATTTGTGTGAAAAATGATAGAATGACACTCTTTGTGAAACAGAAGGAGTATAATGGATCCGAGCTGACTAGGAGTCACCTTGACCGAGAATCATTTTTTCAGACTACTAGTGTTGGATATTCTTTAGCTAGTAGGATTCAAGCTGGTAGACCTTATTTATTAGATAGATGAAATAAAATAAATCATTAAAACTTAAAAAAATGCAAAAAAAGAAGTAAATGAAAAATGAAATGTAATCTATAAATTAGAACTCTAAAAAAATAGATTCTTAGATTGATTTCATATAAAAGGAAAAAGGAAAATCGTTCAAAGTATCAATTCTCTAGGTTATAATAAAAAAAAATTCATTAGAAATGTATTTTATATGGACTTCATTAGATTTGTTACATACAATGACTTGTATAAAAGGATGGTCGAATAGAAGCAAAGCGATGTTTCACATAGGATCTATATACATCCAACAAATTTCAACCATTGGATTTAACATCCCAAAATATCAATTCTCTAGGTTAAAATTAAACAATTTCATTAAAAAATGTATTTATAAGGTCCTAAATCTCTATGGGCTTCATTAGAATAGTTGCATTTTGAATAAAAAGATGGTCTAGGCTTAGGATCTATGTATTGATGACGTCGGCAGTCTCCAAAAAACCACTTTGCTATTATATATAGATTAGGCCAAGCCCATAACAACACTGGGTCAGATTTCAGTACAC